TCATACAGAGAACGGAAGCTGACAATGAAAGTATACCTGATTACAACCATAAACCCTCAACTTTAATCCCAATTAAACGCTAAAATAGCATATACAAAGCGCCCCTTTTTAAAATATCTTACAATGAATTTCAACGGGGGATAAGGGTCTTTCCCACATTTAAGCCCTAAACACGTTTTACCTGTTAGAACACAATCCTAAACATGTTTAGACCCTAAACGCGTCACACTTATGGGACAAGGAACACGTTAAGGTTTGTATTTAGGATCTTAACTCATGTGTTTACAGTGTATAATGCTAAACAAATACTTCTAATAAAAAACTAATAAGAAAGATGTATTATTTCGATCTGTCAAGTTTCCTATTAGGCTGCCACTGAGTTATCAACGTGTGACAACTAGGGCAAACACAGAACAGGCCGTTCAGTAACGTTGTGTGTGCCAGCTGTCCATAGATCCAAGTTTAAAGTTTTCCTCACATTTAATCGGACAACACTTCTGACAGGAACGCTCTGGACCCATTACCAAACAGTTTGCTCAGGGTATTAATCTGTTTTAGGTCACATTGTAATCGCTTGTCTCCGCCCTGCAACCTGACACGGTAATAGCACTTCCCACTCATGGTCGATACGGTCATTGTTTTATTAGATTTGTTTGTTGCATGTACTTTAACGCCCAGTATCCCGGCCATATGATGGCGGTCTGTAAATAGTCGAGTCTGGACTAGACAATCCAGTGATTGATATTGTGAACATCGATCCACGTCGTGGGGCGCGATGGCAGGCTACCAACCAAGTCACAGGACCCTCCGACCCTTTAAGTCGCAATTTACCACCAGCAGCGGTTGTTGCTGGGGGCTTATTCTAAATTAGAATTTCCACAGGCTTGTTTGATTGGAACTTGAAGTGGAATCATGTCTAAAGTTTATGAAAAATGTTCAGTATTTTCAACCAGGTCTTGATTCAACTTGAGAATTGTCGACTTTAACATATCCCTGTAGTTGAATTAACGTTTTGTTTAGTATTTACTTTTACATTATATTCATAACTCATATTTCATACTATTAGGTTCTCATATTGGGCTACATTGTCCTGTAGAACATTGTTCCGATCTGTTCGGGAGGAAATTAACAGACAATTTGACACTCGACCAGGTAGACCGTCCCGACATGATCACAGAGTCAACAGGTGTTTGATATTCCAGACGCATCTACCTGTCACCTGTCGGGCAATTGCCTACCTGGATGAAACAAGTTTGCTGTTTGTGTGTTTAACGCCGAACTCTTCAATATTCCAGCTATATGACAGCGGTCTGTAAATAATAGTCTGGACCAGACAATCAAGTGATTGATATCATGAGCATCGATCTACGCAATTGGGATGCGATGACCCCCCGATCCCGTTAATCGCCTCTTACGACAACCATTGTCATCTTTTGCGGCAAGCATGGTTTGCTGAAGACCTAGTGTACCCCGGATCTTTTGCGGCAAGCATGGGTTGCTGAAGACCTAGTGTACCCCGGATCTTCACGGCAAGCATGGGTTGCTGAAGACCTAGTGTACCCCGGATCTTCACGGCAAGCATGGTTTGCTGAAGACCTATTGTACCCCGGATCTTCACGGCAAGCACGGGTTGCTGAAGACCTATTGTACCCCGGATCTTCACGGCAAGCATGGTTTGCTGAAGACCTATTGTACCCCGGATCTTCACGGCAAGCATGGGTTGCTGAAGACCTATTGTACCCCGGATCTTCACGGCAAGCATGGTTTGCTAAAGACCTATTGTACCCCGGATCTTCACGGCAAGCACGGGTTGCTGAAGACCTATTCTACCCCGGATCTTCACGGCAAGCATGGGTGCCAAAGACCTAGTCTACCCCGGATCTTCACGGCAAGCATGGGTGCTGAAGACCTAGTCTACCCCGGATCTTCACGGGTCGGGTGTAACAAGTGAAGGTGTGGATGTAGCTTCTTTACTCCAACGTAGCAAAAGTGTAAATAAACCAGTCAGTGTCCTATCAACATGGACTACGCTGATGCTTGAATCTGACCATGTCATTATGTCCTGGTGGGAACGTTGACAAATATTGAACGCTGTGGTCGTCGCCAGATCATATAGCCTGGTAGGTGTTGAGGCCCCCAGATTATCCTGATGGATTTCAGGATCTACCCGTCAAGGTGCCTTACTGGGCCCCGTGCCATTAAGCGATCGTAGCGTATAGACTGTCTTAAGTCTATATTAAAGTATAGGAGTTAAGATCATTTTGTGGAACGGTTCCGTCGTGTTAGCCGTCGACCACAGGCTGAGTGTCTGTGGAGAGTGATGTATGACGGCGGTTGGTCTGCATAACCGATGAAGCTACGTTTGTTCCTCATGCAATATGCTCATGTAAAGTTAATGAGTTTAGATCACCGATGCTACCCATGCATTAAGGATGTTGGTGAAAGAATGAAAGCTGTCGAGAAGGGACCGACAGGTGTGTCAAGCAGTACAGCTATCGCATCTCCCCTAAAGACTTTCCTTCGAGTGGGGAGAGGTTCGTTATGGCAACATACTCAAGAGATGCCAGTAATTTAATCTGATCTGTGGAAAGCTACACTGCCATGTTTTGTATACATTTAAATGAGACTCATCAATATGTATTACTTGGTCCCAAGAATGGATATACGAGAACAACAAACGTCAGTCGGTTTCCAGTTACATACAACTAGAACCAGTATTCCACGTGCGAGCATGCGTTGTAAAATGAAGCCGCTTATTTACAAAAACAACATTTTTTCCATATGTTCCGTGTTTTCAGTTGAGCAGTTGACTTGCCTTTGCATGTGTTTGTTACGGTGCCACTGGTGGGTCAGGATACGCTCACCTTTTCGCGAACACCCGGTATCATCTCTATTTAATAGTGATTCATAAACACATTCTAATACAGTCGGAATCGTACAATCGACTCCCTTTGGCAGAGATTTCTTATTAATATGGAATGGGGTTTGTCGCTTGCATATTAATTTTAAATATTTATGTTTCGTTATGTTTGTTTACTGAACCGCTTAGTCTTCCGTTATGGCACACAGTACATGTACCCCATAATCTGTATAAGATATGCAGGTAACTTTTTATGTTGAAATTATTTCTCTTCATAGCGTAGTCATGCTACCAGTAAGTTATATTGTGATGGTTACAGTGTGTAACCATAGTGTGATAATGTAGTTACAGGAACACACCTTGTTAATTATGAGTTACAGGAACGCACCTTGTTAATTATGAGTTACAGGAACACACCTTGTTAATTATGAGTTACAGGAACGCACCTTGTTAATTATGAGTTACAGGAACACACCTTGTTAATTATGAGTTACAGGAACACACCTTGTTAATTATGAGTTACAGGAACGCACCTTGTTAATTATGAGTTACAGGAACGCACCTTGTTAATTATGAGTTACAGGAACACACCTAGTTAATTATGAGTTACAGGAACACGCCTTGTTAATTATGAGTTACAGGAACACACCTTGTTAATTATGAGTTACAGGAACGCACCTTGTTAATTATGAGTTACAGGAACACACCTTGTTAATTATGAGTTACAGGAACACGCCTTGTTAATTATGAGTTACAGGAACACACCTTGTTAATTATGAGTCACAGGAACACACCTTGTTTATTATGAGTTACAGGAACACACCTAGTTAATTATGACTTAGAGGAACACGCCTTGTTAATTATGAGTTACAGGAACACACCTTGTTAATTATGAGTTACAGGAACACGCCTTGTTAATTATGAGTTACAGGAACACGCCCAGTTAATTATGAGTTACAGGAACACGCCTAGTTAATTATGAGTTACAGGAACACGCCTTGTTAATTATGAGTTACAGGAACATGCCTTGTTAATTATGAGTTACAGAAACACACCCAGTTAATTATGAGTTACAGGAACACACCTAGTTAATTATGAGTTACAGGAACACACCTTGTTAATTATGAGTTACAGGAACGCACCTTGTTAATTATGAGTTACAGGAACACACCTAGTTAATTATGAGTTACAGGAACACGCCTTGTTAATTATGAGTTACAGGAACGCACCTTGTTAATTATGAGTTACAGGAACACGCCTAGTTAATTATGAGTTACAGGAACACGCCTAGTTAATTATGAGTTACAGGAACACACCTAGTTAATTATGACTTAGAGGAACACGCCTTGTTAATTATGAGTTACAGGAACACACCTTGTTAATTATGAGTTACAGGAACACACCTTGTTAATTATGAGTTACAGGAACACGCCCAGTTAATTATGAGTTACAGGAACACACCTAGTTAATTATGAGTTACAGGAACACGCCTTGTTAATTATGAGTTACAGGAACGCACCTTGTTAATTATGAGTTACAGGAACACGCCTTGTTAATTATGAGTTACAGGAACACGCCTAGTTAATTATGAGTTACAGGAACACACCTTGTTTATTATGAGTTACAGGAACACACCTAGTTAATTATGAGTTACAGAAACACACCTTGTTAATTATGAGTTACAGGAACACACCTTGTTAATTATGAGTTACAGAAACACACCTTGTTAATTACGAGTTACAGGAACACACCTCGTAAATACGCAGACACGCCTGAAGTTAATGCTGAGCAGTGGGAGAGTGGGGGATGTATGATCCTGTAGTCACACTAGGTTGTTCCGGCGCTGTCACGTATCAAGTAACTTAAGTAAGATAGGTGCAACACAGTCATCACGATAGCAAAAAGTAGTCGAACCTGGCGGAGATAAACCAATGATCGATAATGCGAGTCATACCTGAGATATTTCTGGGTTAAAGCTGACGCAAATAACACATACCCAGCAGCCTGAGACTTCTCGACCCACATCGATCTCGCAATCCTGGGAACCTACTCTGTGCTGGAACCCCCATGTACTTATAATCGATCTGGCACCTCATGTGTTGCACATGGAGAGGGGGTTGTAGATAAAGTTTTAACTTACTGTGTATCACTGTGACCAGGAGAAGTAGTAGTAGTAGTCGTGTAGCCATGACGTCCTCTCGGCAGACTGTCCCTGCCCTGAATCACGACAGTCAGCGGTGATTAAATACTCCTCCAATCGACCGTGTATGGTAACCTATTGCAATGTGTGTTGAGACCAATCTACAACGGTTGTTTTGTTCGAGTCAACGTAAACGGTATGAATAAACTATAGCAGTCATACACAAAAAGACTCGGGGGATTCCACGCGGACTATGGACAAAGGCCGCTGTCGTTTACAGCAATACCACGTGATAGTTAATTCGGTTCGCCAGCAACTGCGTGTTATGTCAAGATACGGGTGTTATTAAGTGAGACAATGTATCCGTAATGAACTGGCTCACTTGTGCAACGGGACAGTCGCGTCATCAAATTATGTGGAAGTTTACAGCTCTCTTATTTACACTCTTTTGGTATTTCATCGGTAGATTTTAAAGCTGCGAGGAACTAAATCAGATAATGATTCATGCAAAATGGGCGGCATCAGCAGCAAATAAAAGTATGAATAATGCACCGGCTTCATCAATAAAACTTCCACTATACTCACTGTTTACAGTATCATTTAAAAGTTCATCAATGTAAATTACAAATTAAGGATTTTTTTTCTTGGGCATCGCACCCACAATATCTGGGCAAGCTCCGTCAAAGACACGGGAAGAGCACCCATTGTACTTGAAAGGGCAATAGTACCCACTGTAAGTTAAACAGTTAAGGTGACTGGATACAGCCTTGTCTGACCCCAGCATTGGCTTTATATTTCTCGGTCAGGGAAAACCTACTACATCGAACAGCTGTTTTACGTTACTCTACATTTGACGAAGAAGAGTGTTGACTTTGCCATGTGTGCCATTATAGAAAATGTGACAATTTATGAGCAAGTTTTTCGCAGTTCACCCGCGCTTACCCGACTTGGAAGAACCGACGATATGACGTCTTTACTCATGTAATGGCCACGTTGAAATATTACTCTTCACATATTTGTCCATTTTTTATATTCTACAGCCAAATAGTTTTCTGATCAATGTTTTCAACATTTCAATCATTTTTGTCAATTTATCGATGTCATCAAATGATTATTTAGAAAAAAAACAAATACCCCGGTGCCGACAAAGCTAATACTCGGTGCCCCATCTTGCTTCAATTAAATACCGATCTTCACAATATTGTAATGTTTACCTAAAAATTTTCCTAACGCAAACACTTCAAGTTTGCTCGTACTTTTGAAATGGTAATTCATATAATTCGTGCAAGAGTACTTAACGAAGGCCAAAGGAGAACTCTTACTGGGAAACCGGTGCGGCTACACGGATCCAGTTGGAGAGCTCCTGTATGAACGAATGGTCATCATGCTATCCATGTAAAGTCTTGTGTGTCCACACCGCTAACTCAATACTCACCTCATCGTTCAAACTATTCAATCCAGTAAAATGAATGTGTACTTTGTTTGGCGACCATTACTGCGTTGAACACGACTTACCTTGAACCTTACACTTACAAAAGGCTAAACAATGCAAAGACTATCATATTCAGTTCAGTTTCAAGCCAAGTTCAGTTTCAAGCGGTGTTTAGCTAACATACTGGTGGTCTCGGAAACTAATATGTTTATCATATTTATCAATATATAGATCATTCTTAAGAAGGAAAGTCCTTAGCATATTCCCATCAGGTTTACCTTTATCGGCCCATGAGCAGTGGGCCACTTTGTACAATCAAGGGTTAACAGATCCGTAATGATATTTACAAAATTAAATAAAATTTATGTTCGGGTGTCCAAATGTTCAGATGCCCGGATGTCCAGATGTTCGGGTGTCCAAATGTTCAGATGTCCAGATGCCCGGGTGTCCAGATGTCCGGGTGCCTGGTTGTCCAGATGTCAAAATGTCCAGCTGTCAAGATGTCCAGATGTCCGGGTGTCCAGGTGTCAGGATGTCCGGGTGCCTGGTTGTCCAGATGTCAAGATGTCCGGGTGCCTGGTTGTCCAGATGTCAAGATGTCCAGGTGTCAAGATGTCCGGGTGTCCAGGTGTCAGGATGTCCGGGTGCCTGGTTGTCCAGATGTCAAGATGTCCAGGTGTCAGGATGTCCAGATGTCAAGATGTCCAGGTGTCAGGATGTCCGGATGTCCGGGTGTCCGGGTGTCCAGGTGTCAGGGTGTCCAGATGTCCGGGTGTCCAGGTGTCAGGATGTCCAGATTTCCGGGTGTCCAGGTGTCAGGATGTCCAGGTGTCAGGATGTCCGGGTGTCCATATATCTAGATGTCTGGGTGTCCGAGTGTCCGAGTGTCCGGATGTCCAGATGTTCATTTATATATCAAACTACCCTTAGATATACACAACACTACCTCACATATACACAACACTACCCTCACAACATATACACAACACTACCCTCACATATACACAACACTACCCTCACAACATATACACAACACTACCTCATATATACACAACACTACCCTCACAACATATACACAACACTACCTCACATATACACAACACTACCTCACATATACACAACACTACCTCATATATACACAACACTACCCTCACAACATATACACAACACTACCTCATATATACACAACACTACCCTCACATATACACTACACTACCTCACATATACACAACACTACCCACACATATACACAACACTACCTCACTTATACACAACACTACCTCACATATACACAACACTACCTCACATATACACAACACTACCTCACATATACACAACACTACCCTCACATATACACAACACTACCCTCACATATACACAACACTACCTCACATATACACAACACTACCTCACATATACACAACACTACCCTCACATATACACAACACTACCTCACATATACACTACACTACCTCACATATACACAACACTACCCTCACATATACACAACACTACCCTCACATATACACAACACTACCCTCACATATACACAACACTACCTCACATATACACTACACTACCTCACATATACACAACACTACCCTCACATATACACAACACTACCTCACATATACACAACACACAACACTACCTCACATATACACTACACTACCTCACATATACACAACACTACCTCACATATACACTACACTACCTCACATATACACAACACTACCCTCACATAAACACAACACTACCTCACATATACACTACACTACCTCACATATACACAACACTACCCTCACATATACACAACACTACCCTCACACGAAGCGTGGTTCATTTCATGATAAAACATCGTAAAACGATTAACTATGCTATCACATACATACAACACTCCCCTCATATACATAAACTCTACTCTCATATACATAAACCCTACTCTCAAATACATAAACTCTACACTCATATACATGAACTCTACTCTCATATACATAAACCCTACTCTCAAATACATAAACTCTACTCTCATATACATAAACTCTACTCTCATATACATAAACGCTACTCTCATATACATAAACCCTACTCTCATATACATAAACCCTACTCTCATATACATAAACCCTACTCTCATATACATAAACCCCTTCTAACATATACATAAACTCCCTTCATATTGCATAAACGCTACTCTCATATACATAAACTCTACTCTCATATACATAAACCCTACTCTCATATACATAAACTCTACTCTCATATACATAAACCCTACTCTCATATACATAAACCCTACTCTCATATGTATAAACATTACTCTCATATACATAAACCCTACTCTCATATACATAAACTCTACTCTCATATACATAAACGCTACTCTCATATACATAAACCCTACTCTCAAATACATAAACTCTACTCTCATATACATGAACTCTACTCTCATATACATAAACCCTACTCTCAAATACATAAACTCTACACTCATATACATAAACTCCCTTCATATTACATAAACGCTACTCTCATATACATAAACCCTACTCTCATATACATAAACCCTACTCTCATATACATAAACCCTACTCTCATATACATAAACCCTACTCTCATATACATAAACCCTACTCTCATATACATAAACTCTACTCTCATATACATAAACTCCCTTCATATTACATAAACGCTATTCTCATATACATAAACTCTACTCTCATATACATAAACTCTACTCTCATATACATAAACTCTACTCTCATATACATAAACCCTACTCTCATATACATAAACCCTACTCTCATATACATAAACTCCCTTCATATTACATAAACCCTACTCTCATATACATAAACTCCCTTCATATTACATAAACCCTATTCTCATATACATAAACTCCCTTCATATTACATAAACTCATGTATAGTCATGCAGACCCCGAAACAAATATATCCAATACAGCCTATGCAAGTCTATACTGTTTGGCAAGTCTAGATTACTGCAGTATCTGAAAAGTCTCATGTGTGGGTGTGCGTGTGCGTGTGCGTGTGCGTGTGCGTGTGCGTGTGTGTGTGTGGCTCCCTCGTGTCCCGGGACATTATTACATCATTGCCGGAAAAAAACACTGACTACCTACATTACAGCTGATGAATTACATCGACGCAAGATTGAATTAAATTGGTTGTTTTGTTAAGTTGTTTTTGTGATCAAATTCGTTGAATCATATGGGATAATTAACTATTTCAATAACATTTTTTTTTAAAGATTTGTGTCATCAACATACAAAATAAACACCCTGCCTGTCTATGTGTTATTCTGTACCCCGTGCCCCCTTTGTGCCTGTGATTAAGTGGCGATTACCGTCTATCTGTCTGCGTCCAAACTCTATAGAGTCTTACAACGGTAAATGTTTAGTTTGTCCTGTTCTATTATTGAAACGTTGTCATATGACGACAGCAGTAATTAACAGGCAACGCAAAACAGACACTGTCTGACGCCTCTGTTAGTGATAAACTTCGACAGGCCTTGACGAACAATCGGATTAATTGGTGTTGACTGACTGCCGGCAAATCGCACATTCACTTGTACATTCGCCATGATGCAAGGAAGTAATGATGAAATAATATGTCCGTCGTTATATACACGCTTCACTGATATTGTTTACTCACTTTATTCTAATTAATTTTGATTAAACACTATATATTAAACATTTTGACACGTGAACTCATATCACTAACATTCACCTTAAGTTACGTGAATATGGTTCATATCAGCTACTTAGTAATCGCCT